AGGTTTGTTCACATCTATGTCCCCTGCACTTGGCACACTGGAGGTGCTCAGTAAACATTTGGTGAATAAATGAAAAGATGAGTGGTTTCTAATCCTGCTTCTTGGGCTTTGAGATTCAGATCCCCCTCCATTCATCCTGTCCAACATCTCTCTGTGTGGACTACAATCTGGTTTATATTTATTTATTATTTTTTTAAAGATTTTATTTATTTTAATATTTTATTTATTTATTCATGAGACAGAGAGAGAGAGAGAGAGAGAGGCAGAGACACAGGCAGAAGGAGAAGCAGGCTCCATGCAAGAAGCCCGATGTGGGACTTGATCCCAGGACTCCAGGATCACACCCTGGGCTGAAGGCAGGCACCAAACCGCTGAGCCACCCGGGGACCCCCTAAAGATTTTATTTTATTCTATTCCTGTGAGACACAGAGAGAGAGAGGCAGAGACACAGGCAGAGGGAGAAGCAGGCTCCCTGCAGGGACCCTGATGCAGGACTCAATCCCAGGACCCCGGGATCCCAACCTGAGCAGAAGGCAGACGCTCAACCACTGAGCCACCCAGGCATCCCTACAATCTGGTTTTTATATTCAAAAGATGTGCTCGGTGCTTAAAACAGCGTGTGAAATCCACAGCTTTTCATGGATGTGGTGGTGACACACGGTGTGCATCAGGCCTCCACGGCCTCGATTGGGCCCCGGGTGCCCCCCTCCCCCGCTGGATGCTGCCCGCTGTGAAGGCCTCCCCAGGAGGGGTGAACCCCAAGGGCTCATCCTGGGCACACGCATGCGCACACCAACCGGGGAAAGACCAGGAAGCAGACAGGACATTCACATGAGCTCTCAGCCTCTCTCCCTGCCCGCACCCCCATCCCCAGCCTGGCATGGGTCTGGAACGTGTAATAGCAGCCTACGGGGCAAATTAGAACAGGGAGTGAGCTCTTTCCCTGACCACAGAGAACAGGGTAGCATTTGGGGGAAGAATTGCCACAGAGCAGCAGCGCAGCCCGAGGTGAGTGTGTGTGTGTGTGTGTGTGTGTGTGTATGCGCGCGCTTGCACGCTCGCGTGTATGTACACATGTGTGCATGTGCACGCATATGCTCCCTGGCATGTACACATGCTTGAGGGGTGTGGAAGGAGCCCAGGCTTAGGATCCAGAGGACTTCTTTTACTTTTTTTTTTAAGATTTTATTTATTTATTCATGAGAGACACAGACAGAGAGGCAGAGACACAGGCAGAGGGAGAAGCAGGCTCCCTGTGGGGAGCCTGATGTGGGACTCGATCCTAGGACCCCGGGAACATGCCCTGGGCAGGCGCCCAACCACTGAGCCACCCAGGCACCCCCAGAAGCCTTCTTTATGGCCGTTTGCTTCCTGGATGGCCTATGGGAGCCTCGATTTCCTTAGCTGAAAATGGGAGCAGCTTTGTTGGCCAGGCCCTTGGGGGCCGGGGGTGCCAGGCTGCATGGGGGGCCCGTGCCTGTGCATGAGGGGGGAGCGAGGAGGGCAGGTGTGTTAACTATCGCACGACACCAGGTGAAGATGGAAGCACTTGTCAAATGCTCACTTAGACGCCCAAGAGACCCGTGATCTGCCTTAGGTCGCAGTCGCTCTACGGGACAGATGCTGTCACAGCCCTCATTTTGCAGGTAGAGAAACTGAGGTAACCCTTAGCTCCCAGCTGTTGCGCAGCTGGAACAAGATACCATAAGCCCTCGGGTAGATGCCCGGCAGCTAAGCCAGGCCCCACCAAGTGAGGGGCGAGGGTAGCCCAAGCTTGGCCGCCGACTGCTCCGACTTGGATTCGGGCCTGGCTCAGTCTGCTCTGTGGCTGTGGGCAAGTCACTTCGCCTCTCTGAGCCTCAGCATCTTCATCTGTAGAACGGGAATGAGAGCCGTACCTGCCTCCAGAGGAGGGTTTCTCGACCTCAGCGCTGTTGACATTTGGGCTGATCACTCCTTGCGGTGGGGGCTCTTCTGTGCATTGTCATATTTATGGTATCATCATAATTAAATGCTAATAATGATCACATGTGTCTCGCCTAAGGCTACTAGCAAGGAGGTGAGTGGCTGAGAGGAGGTTTGAACCTGGGGCTGGCTGACCTTAGACCCTTGTCATGGAGCCCTCAGAAACCCTGGATGCCATCTGGGTTGGCATTCCTTAGGAGAGGGGGGTGCAGGCATGGTGGGGGTTTGGAGCTCCCCAAAGTGGGGTGTCCATCTGGCTTTGCTCCAGTGAGGGAAGGGGTGTGGTAATCGGGAGTGTGTTGACAGCAGAGGCACGTGCCCCAATGCCTCCCCTCCCCTCACCCCTAGATCCCCAATGAGGTGGACAGGGGCTGTGCCCTGGGAAGTGAATCTTCCCCCTCCATGCCTGCACCCCAGCGGATACCTGTCCTTGCCTCAACATGCTCCCCATTCTTACAGAACAAAGCCATCTGACATCTCCCAAGATCTCTAGAAGGAGGTGTGGTCACCCCAGTCTTACAAGTAGAGAAACCAAGGCTCAGAGAGGAAGTGAACATTTGTCCAAGATCACATAGCTGCTGGTGTCCAGGGCCAAGACAGGAACCAAGTACATCTGATGTCAGAACCTGTGCTCCTAACCCTCCCTCCTTTGATTAGAATCACCAACAGCCCCCCAATTTATTCCCAGGGTTGGCACTGGAAATGCCTGACCTCATTTAATTCTTCTCGCAAAGCTTTGAAAACCTGTTGCCTTTACACCCATTTTTTATTTTTATTTTATTTATTTTATTTTTTTTAAATTTATTTATTTATGATAGTCAAAGAGAGAGAGAGAGAGAGAGAGAGAGGCAGAGACATAGGCAGAGGGAGAAGCAGGCTCCATGCACCGGGAACCCGATATGGGATTCGATCCGGGGTCTCCAGGATCGCGCCCTGAGCCAAAGGCAGGCGCCAAACCGCTGCGCCACCCAGGGATCCCTACACCCATTTTTTAAAAAAGATTTTATTTATTTATTCATGAGAGACACAGAGAGAGAGAGGCAGAGACACAGGCAGAGGGAGAAGCAGGCTCCACGCAGGGAGCCCGACGCAGGACTCGATCCCGGGTCTCCAGGATCATGCCCTGGGCTGAAGGCAGATGCTTAACTGCTGAGCCACTCAGGCGTCCCATTTACACCCATTTTATTTAAAGATTTTATTTATTCATTTCTAGAGAGACAGAGCATGAGGGGAGGGGCAGAGGGGGAAGGGGGAGGGAGAAGCAGACTCCGTGCTGAACACTGAGACCATGACCTGAGCCGAAACCAAGAGTCAGACGCTTAAGTGACTCAGCCACCCAGGTGCCCTGCATCCATTTTATTTAATTTTTAAAATTTTATTTATTTATTCATGAGAGATACACAGAGAGAGGCAGAGACACAGGCAGAGGGAGAAGCCGGCTCCCTGCGGGGAGCCTGATGTAGGACTCGATCCCAGGACCCTGGGATCACAACCTGAGCCAAAGGCAGAAGCTCAATGGCTGAGCCACCCAGGCGTCCCTGCATCCATTTTAAAGAGGAGAAAACCAAGTCTCGGGGAGCTAAAGTGACCTCTCCCAAGGTCACACTGCATGTCAATAGCAACTGGGCCTAGAACCCAGAGCTGGATCACTCTCGAGTCTAGCCTGTCCCTCCCCACTGGTGCCCAGAGAAGGGGCCAGTCCCCGACAGGAGCGCTGACCCTCTGTATGCCCTGTTGTACCCGCCGAGAGAGGCCTCTGGTGGTACCCCCACCTCTCTGGCCCCAGCCTTCCCTCCTGGGAGTCACAAAACAAACAAGGCGGTAACCAGTGTTTATTTGCTCCTCTGCTAATGTGTTGGGCAGGGAGAGGAAGACCTAGAAAAGAGAGCTTTTCAGACATCTCCCTGCAGCCCGGGTGGGATGGCAAGAAAGTTCCAGGAAACTCGCCCACAGTGCACCGCAGAGGGCAGCGGCCTGCCAGCCAGCCAGCGGGCACCTGGCTCCTCCCCACCCTGGCTCCTGGCTAACATTGGGCCCGGAGCGGGGGAGACCTGGGTTCTAGTCCAGCTCTCCTCCCTACAAGCTGTGTGAGTGCCCCTCCGAAAGCTCTAGTCTTGCTGTCTGAGAAATGGGAGCAAATCACACTTTTGTCTGCGAGGCACCCTTCTTGGTGTTGAGGGTGCAGGAGTGAATAAGCAGAGGTGTTCCCTGCCTCCTGGGACTCACGGCCCGGGGATGAACTAATCCCATGGAGAGATGGTCAGGGAGGGCTTCCCGGAGGAAGGGACAATTGAGCTGGGAACACAGAGGGGTAGGAGTTAGCCAGACCAACAGGGGAGGTGAGGGACGAGCACTTGGCACTGGGGAGCCGAGGTTTATAGCAAGTTTATAGCTATAGTGTTGGGAACTCAGTTTCCTGCTCTGCAAAAGGGAGTTAGAAGGATGGCACCAGGGAGGATGGAGGAACGCTGGCTCACACAATGGGATTTTTGTTTTTTCTGAGCACCTCCTGGGCCCAAAGCATACATTTTATGGTCATGTTTTAGTTGGTGCCTGGCACTGCGCTGGCCATGGGAATGCATGCTCTCTGCTTGGACGTGCCCATTTTACAGGTGAGAAAACCAAGGCCATGAAATATCAGCTTGCCCAACGCCACATGGTTGCTGAGTGTGGAGCCTGAATGGAGGTCCGCCCTGTGGGGTCTGAAGCTGGCTGGGCTGGGCAGGAGTAAGCCCCAGGCTCCAGGTTTGGGGTCCCAGGGTGACTCTGAGGCCCTTCCTCCTCCAGCTAATGCCCAGGGTGGTTGGACCGGAGGCACATTTGCGTTTCCAGGTCCCTAAAAGAGGCTCCTGTTGCAGCTTTTGCCCGGGGCCGGCAGCCAACCACATCTGGGAGTGGTCACCCCGCACCCCTGTCATTACAACGGTGGCTTTGAAGCAGCTGGCAGCAGTGCTGTTTGCCCACGTGGGAGGGGGCTTCCTGGAGCCCCCACCTCTGGCTAGGCCCCGCCTGACTCCCCTCCTGTTCCCTTGCAGGCCGAGCAGTGCAGACGGGTCTCGGGTCGGCATGGCGGATCCCAGCGAAGGCCCCCACACCGGGCCCGGGGAGGTGGCTGAGACCCCCGGGGACGAGAGTGGCACCCCCAGCAGCGAGGCCTTCCCCCTCTCTTCGCTGGCCAACCTGTTTGAAGGGGAGGATGGCTCCCCCTCCCCCTCCCCAGCTGACACTGGTCGCCCCGCTGGCCCGGGTGACGGGAGACCAAACCTGCGCATGAAGTTCCAGGGTGCCTTCCGCAAGGGGGTGCCCAACCCCATTGACCTGCTGGAGTCCACCTTGTATGAGTCCTCCGTGGTGCCCGGACCCAAGAAGGCACCCATGGACTCGCTCTTCGACTATGGCACTTACCGTCACCACCCCAGTGACAACAAGCGGTGGAGGAAGAAGGTCATCGAGTGAGTATTGCTGGCCGCCTGGCCAATGGTCTCCTCTGTGTTGAATCCATCCATCCACCCGTCTGTCTGTCCATCCATCCATCCATTCGCCTACCTGTCCACCCACCTGTTCACTTTTCCATATACTTGTCTGTTCACGCATCTGTCCATCCACTCACCATCCATCCATCCACCGTCTACCCATTCATTCATCCAGCTACCCGTCTTTCCACCTGCTTGTCCACTTGTCCAATCCTTCTGTCCATCATCCATCGTTCACCTATGTCTCTGCCCATTTGTCATCTCTCGCTCCAGCCATCCACCCATGAAAACCCCTAAGAACCCCTCTCAGGCCCCTGTGTGTACCTGGAGGACAGTCTTGAAGTCGGGAGATGACCCGTTGTTGCCTGGTCCTTGTCTGTCCCCCTTGCCGATCACAGACTCCCGTACGCCCTTGGATGAAGCCCTTGCTTGGTCCAGAGCTGTCTCCTTTAGGCACTGAGTCACTGATTCACTTAGTGCATGTTCCTCAAGCACCTTCACTGGCACACTCATCTTGGAGAGTGAGCCAGGTAATAAGCAAGTAAATAGGCATGTGAACATACACCATTTACGTTGGGGGAGGTGCTGAGGTGGAGAGAGGAAGCTGATACAGGAAATAGTCTAGGAGGGCTTCTCGGAGGAGGTAACATTTGAGCCCCACACTAAGGGATGACAAGGAGTAGCCACACGGGGTGAGGAAGGTGTTCCTCTGGAGGGAAGTGTACACACCAGGGCTGCTGGCTGCCTCAGCCTCTGTTCAGGGGACAGCAAAGCGCCCCAGGGTCCCCATCCCTTCCAGGTCATGCTGAAAGCTGGTGGGCTCCGTGTCTCCCTTTCCTCTCCCTTGGAACTCTTCCTTCAAGCCCTCACCACACCCCTACTCCAGACAGGGCTAATAGCTTTGCAGGGGCTGTGTAGGACTCGGGGGGGGGGGGGTGGCCACTAAGTGGCTGAGGTCTTAGAGACCCTGAACACCACCTAATGAACCACGTCCCCTGGCCTGCTTCCAGCTCTCTCTGCCCCTGCAGCCCCTCCTGGCCTCAGTCTCCCCTCCCTCCTGGCCGGCTGCTATCACCTGTCCCCCTGGCTCCCCTCCTTTCTCCTCGGCTCCCTCCCGTCTGTTTTCTCTGCCCTACCCTCCATTCATCTAACGGGTTCTCCCTGTGTCCCACACACACCAGGCGCTGGGTACCTGGAGACCTAACGGAGACGATCCTTGCCCTTCCTGGGCCCCCTGGGCTAGTGCCACTCCCAGCCCTTTGTCTCTTAAAATCTAGCACATAGTAGGTGCCTAAGTAGTGTTTGTTGAATGACCAAAGGAATATCCATTTTCTTCTTTCCTTTGTCTCTCTGCTTTCTCACTCCCAGCGCCTTGCCTCGTGGGTCGTGGGTCGTGGGTCGTGGGTCGTGTCCTTTCTCCACCCGCCTCTGCAGCTCAGCATTTCTCCCCCCATCCCCACAGCTCTGGACACACAGTGTCACTGTCAGCTAACATGTGCTGTGTCCACTGTACGGGGGGGCCTCGAACCTGGCACCCGTGTGCATGGTCTCATTTGTCTCAAATGTTTGTTGCATGAATAAATCAACGAGCGAATGGCTGAATAAATGAATCAATTGCTTTATCTTTTAGCCCGGCGTTCCCCCTTTATTTTCTCGCTGTCTGTATCTCTTTCCATCTGGCTTTGTAAGTACTCAGTAACAGAAATGGAAGAGTGGATGGATGGATGGATGGATGGATGGATGGACAGATGGATGAGTGGGTGGGTAGGTAGGTGTATGGGTGGGCGGGTGGATGGATGGACAAATGGATGGATGGTTGGTTGGAATGATGGGCCGGTAGGTGGGTGGATGGGCAGGTGGATGGATAGGTGGGTGGATGGGTGGGTGGATGGGTGGATGGATGGGTAGATGGGTGGGTGGATGGGTGGGTGGATGGGTAGATGGGTGGGTGGATGGATAGGTAGGCTTATATGTTTCTTTTTGTCTGTTTGTTTCTACCCAACACACAGTAGGTACTAGGTAGGGTTTGTTGGGATAAAATATTCCTTTGTTTCTCCAGTTATCCATCCCCTCTCACCCTGGTCCCTCTCTAGGGCTCCAGCTCCCCCGCCCCCAACCACAACCCCTGGGCCCCTCAGGCGGGAGATAGGGTGGGAAGGGGTCGAGCCCTCCCATCACTCTGCCTTCTGCTACCTCCAGGAAGCAGCCGCAGAGTCCCAAAGCTCCTGCTCCCCAGCCGCCCCCCATCCTTAAAGTCTTCAACCGGCCTATCCTCTTTGACATCGTGTCCCGGGGCTCTACCACCGACCTGGATGGGCTGCTGCCCTTCTTGCTGACCCACAAGAAGCGCCTGACTGATGAGGAGTTCCGGGGTGAGCCACCCAGGTGGGGCTAGTGGGTGGGCCAGCCAGGGGCTGAGGGAGGCCTGGTGTTGGGGGCCCCCTTCTCTCTCAGCATCTTCTCCTGGGTCGGTGGACTGCACCGGCCATGAAGAGCACTGCATAGGGAGTCTGGTCCTGTGTGTCCATTGCCATATTACTTAAGCCCTCTGGGCTTTTGCTACCATCATTCATTCATTCATTCATTCTTTCAGCCTTTGTTTATGGAAAGATCAGTGTTGTAGGTAAGCAGAGTCCACTCACCTGGGTTCAAATGACGCCTCCATCACTTAAGGGATGTGTGGCCTCCGTGAGACCCAGTTTCCCCATCTGTCAACCAGGGAGTAATCATAGCATAGTCCTCGCAGAGCATTCCCACCCAGCTTTCGGGCTCCCCTCCCTCAGCCAGAGGCTCCCTAGGCAGCCTGCCCCACACTTCTCCAGCCCAGAGAGCTCACCCCTCAGCCTTATCTGGACTCCAAACCCAAAGTCCATCAGCTCCTCTGATGCCCCAGGCCTTCCCTGCAAATTGGCAAAGTTGGCCTGTGAGCCCCTTCACCTGAGTCAGTCACCTGTTATGTGCCTGGTACCGGATATAGGAGCCATCATTAACTGGCCAAATGACCCCATGAATCAACATGGAATGCTAGGAACCGCAGCACCTGTTACAAAGGACAGCCTGTCTCGAGAAGGCCAGGGCAGTCTACTGCTCAGGCCTGATGATGTTCAGGGATGTCAAGGAGACTTTTTTTTTTTTTTTTAAGATTTTATCCATCTATTTGACAGAGAGAGAGCACATGCAGGGGGAGTGAAAAAGGGAGAAGCAGGCTCCTCACTGAGCAGGGAGCCCAATCTGGGGCTTGATCGATGCGGGGCTTGATTCCAGGACCCGGGGAATCACAACCTGACCCTAAGGCAGATGCCCAGCTGGCTGAGCCACCCCGGCACCCCCAGAGCGGGGGCATTATTTGAGGCTTCAAGTACTTCAGCTAAATTAAGTGGCCAAGCAGGGTGACCCAGCCAGCGTTACATTTTTCACATATGCCTCTACCAACTGGGGTCTTTGACACCAACGCGATACAGTGCAGTTTCATGACAGTCGGAGGGGAATTCCTGAATTATCAAAAATATTCCTTCCTGGTGCTCAGCCGGCCAATGTGGCTGTTTGCGGCACGAGCTCAGAGTTGGGACACCCTGGGGTTCCTCTCTGCCCTCAGAGGGTCTCACTGACTTCGTGAATCATCTCATTTGGAGATAACACCCACATCCAAGCCCAGACCGAAGGGCGCCTCCTGACCCCCACGTGCAGGAGGCACAGGTGGAGAAGTTCGGGGGAGAGCAAACCACCGTGTCTTCAGCGAGGCAGTACAGCTCCCGGCTGGGGCTTCCAAGGCTCTGGCTTCTCCTGGGTCTGCAGCTGAGTGGGGGGCTTCTCACCGAGGCCAGGAACCCTGGGGCCAGTGTATCTGTGTGCATGAGCAGGGGTGGGGGTGTGCTCCCTGAAACTGGGGAGTAGTGAATGTTATTGGGGGATTAACCGGGAAGCCCATGACGCTGAGTAAGCTGTAGGGCTGCTCGCTTGCTCGGGCCCCTTCTAAGGCCCTGCAACTAATTCTGGATTCATAATTGCATGCTCGTTTTCATACACAGCACCCCCAAATTGTGTAAGTCTGAGGCCTGAGAAACCTGGATCCGCCCCTGCGTGTTGTTCTAGCCAGAGGTTCAGGAGCTCGTCTGATTCTCAGGGGCATCTGTGACCACCACCCCTCAAAGTCTGACACCTTCCAATTTGACAGTAATTTAGGGCTTCCCCGCCCCCCGCCCCCAGGGCCCCCAAGGCCTAGCAGCTCCTGCGGGCAGAGCCACTTCGCCACCTGGTGGTCGAGTTCTGGAACTGCGTGTCCCTCCCAGGTTCTGGGAAGATGCAGCTCTTGCCAATTCACCCCCGGACCAGGGCTGGCAGCTCCCCACCCTACGACAGCCTGTCTGGAGGTGTGGGAGCCCAAATCCAAGGTCTGGGTCCATGCCTTGCACAAACCACTTTGGGGTGTCTGTGGTTTGGAATCATCTGTGGTGACCAGCTCATCAGGTGCTGTGCGGGGCATGGGGCGAACAATGACCAATAAAGCAGACACAACCGTGTCCTCAAGTCGCTCACAGTTTCCTGGGTGAGATCAACATCGATCAAGCAATCACAGAAATAAAAACAGTTCTAAATTGTCACGTGTGCCGACAAGTAGCTGTGTTTGGAGGATTTGATCTAGTCAGGAAAATCTGGGAGAGCTTCCTGGGGGAGGTGACACTTAAGCTGAATCTGAATGACTTGTGGTTAACCAGGTAAAACAAGAGAAAGGACCAGGGAAAGGATGAAGGGAGAGCATATGCAAAGGCCCTGTGGCTTACTGTGATAGCATACACTGAGATGACCCTGCAGCTGCTATGTGGATTGAAGGAAAGCCAGAGAGGCTGGTGGAAACCAGGCAGGTGTCTTGGGCCAGGGTGGTGGCAGTGGAGATGGGGAGTGGTGGAGGGATTGAATAGGACGTGTGGAGGAGAAGAGAGGGACAAGGCTGACACAAAGGTTTTTGGCTGGAGGGGACACCATCCTATGCAAGCTGGGAGTGGGTTTGGGGAGGGAGCATGGAGAGCTGCAAGCTGCCTGAATTAGGAAATGGACTGAAACCTCCTCAAGGCTGGAGCTGAGTGTAAATGGGTCTGGAGAGGATCTCCAGGGCCCTTGGCTAGTTTTTAGGGCACCCCCACCCCGCACACATGCACATGAGGAACTGGAGTCCACTCCCTGTGACTCTGGGCTGGGCGCCAACGGGTACGCCAGGAAGCAGCTGGGGACGAGGCTTGCCCGAGACACCTCAGTCCTGGGGGGTGCTGGGACTGGAACCCAGGTCCCTGAGAGTCTCTCTTATTCTCCCCACTGACTCCTGGTACCTAGGGAGAAATTCCTAAAGCACTTCCCGTGGAATAATAACCACAACAGAATATTTACTGAAAACTGTTATCTGCCTGGTGTTGGGCTCATCAACAAACATCTACTAGCTCTTCGATTTCCTCTGTGGCCTCAATTTTGCTAGAAAGGAAACCAAGGCAGAGGAAGGGTCACACAGGAATCGGGAGTAAAGCTGGGATTCGAACCCCAAGGTGCCTGGCTCCAGAGCAGGTGTCTCAGTTCACACCTGTGTCTCCCATTCCCAATCCCATTCCTGCTTCTGCCTTTCCCGAGCCCCCAGCATGATTTTGCCCCGTGCCTGATTCACAGGGGTGTTCTCTTTTCATCAACTTGTTCTTTCTATTCTTTTTAAAGATGTATTTATTTATTTGAGAGAGACAGATAGGGCGAGGGGGAGGGGAAGGGGCAGAGGGAGAGAAAGAATCTCAAGCAGACTCCCTGCTGAGTGCGGAGCCCAATGTCAGGCTTGACCTCGTGACCCTGAGATCATGACCTGAGCCAAAACCAAGAGTGGATGCTCAACCCTCAACTGACTGAGCCACCCAGGCAGCCCTCATTGACTAACTCTTTTAAGATGTAAACCAACTCATGTAACCATAAAAATTAACACAAGGGAAAGAACATTGCACGGGGAGGTTGTCAGAAGGCAGCGTTAAGGACCTGTTTGTACCAGGTGGAGACTGGCTTCATGAGATTTGACAATGAGTTGAAAATGCTCATGGCAGGTCTTCAGTGTTATTATTGCTGCGTCTGGGACCCCAGAGCCCTCTCCTGCCCTTCCTAAGGTAATTTCATGTCCACTATGGCAGGCAGTCTGCACTTTGGGGACCACTGCACCCTGTCTGCTCCCCTCTAGGGGCACTGGTGTAAATACTTCATGGGAAGAGGAGCCTCTGTTCAAATAGATGGCAAATGGGGCCTGCTGTGTCTGACTTTTAAATAGATGGCTGAGCTTCACGGTCACCGTTAGCATATTAAAAGCTCTCACAAGTGCTTAATAATAAATATGGTTGTCTTTGTTTAACCCAGGCTTCTTCACCATTTATTTGATTCTTAAAATTCCCTCCAAATTATGCTCTGGTAAATCCCAGTCTCCAAAGGCTTCCTACCTTTTGAAGAACTAACTGCCCCTCTGAGTTTCTTAGACCCCCTCAGCACCGTGAGCACAGGTAGGGAATGGGCTCAGAGGAGGGGTGACAGGGCCAGGACTCTGCCCAGTGCCCTATCCCCTGCCATCCAGTAGTCCCATACCACAGACTGAACGCCCCTCATCCTGTACGTTTGTCCCCCCAGAGCCATCCACAGGGAAGACCTGCCTGCCCAAGGCCCTGCTGAATCTGAGCAATGGCCGCAATGACACCATCCCTGTGCTCCTGGACATCGCCGAGCGGACGGGCAACATGCGGGAGTTCATCAACTCGCCCTTCCGGGACATCTACTACCGAGGTGGGGTCCCGTGCCGGAGCAGGGGTGATGCAGGGTGGTGGTAGGGTGCTGTCCTTGCTCATCTGACCCCCACGCCAGCCCAAGAGCTTCCATCTATGCCCCAGGTGCCAGCATTGCAGCCAGGAACCGAGCATTGAATGACTCCCCCTTCCGATCTTGCCATTCTGAGTTTCAGAAATCCAAGATTCTGAATCCAAGACTCTGAGATGCAGTGAACCTAATGACCCATGGACTTGGCACTCTGGACCGGAGATGCCATGGTTCCGGACACACTAAGGCTCTATGATAATTGTATGGGCCAGCATCGCTAAGAGGCAAAAATGATAGTCACCAGTCCCAGCTCCCCGGGTCTAAATTTTGAAATTCCATGAATCAGACTTGACCTTTCCAATTCCTGGATAGGAAGCTTCAAAGTCTGTGAATTTTATACTTGAGTCCAAAATTCTGTAAGATCACAATGCCTTTGTCTCCCCCTGGATTAAAGCCTCTCATGCGCCTGACAAGTTCTCACACTTGGGATCCTATGTGTGGGATCGGCTTTGAGTCTCAGTTATGCCCGCACCATGCAGTGCAGCACGGCAGGCCTTCGTGCAGCAGAGATCCCACATCCGGGCAGCATCTGGGAGGTTCATTTGCTGCCCTTGGGAGGAGCCGGCCAAGGCCTGGGCCTGCAGCCTCCACCTGACTTCCACACTATGCACCCTGCCCCCTGCCCTCAAGCCAGGTCCAGTCTCTGCCCCCCGCCGGTGACAGTCCCTCACCACCCCCACACTCCAGGTCAGACCGCCCTGCACATTGCCATCGAGCGGCGCTGCAAACACTATGTGGAGCTCCTGGTGGCCCAAGGAGCTGATGTCCATGCCCAGGCCCGAGGGCGCTTCTTCCAGCCCAAGGATGAGGGAGGCTACTTCTACTTCGGTGAGGACGGGACAGTGGGGGCTGGGGTACATGGTGGTGTCCACAGCCCTGGCCCCTCTCAGACACTAGAGCCCCGCTGGCCAAGGGCTCAGATGGGGTCCCATGTGCTGGCTGCGTGTCAGTGTCACCGAGGTCTTGCCTATGAGGGGTAGAGCATGCTCTGGTCTCCTGGGGTCTCAGCTCCCCATCTGTACAGTGGGGATTATGAGAGCCCCTAGCTCTGTGATGGGTGTCTGCCCCGCACCCTGCACCCTGCACCTTGTCGTGCACACCCTTTAGTTCCACTGAAGCCGGGACTGGTGGTCAGATGGCAGGGCCCAAGCCTCATCGCCACCATGTCCCAGTTGAATTCACCCCGCTTAAAGGCACACATTATTTGGGGCGCCTGGGTTGTTCAGTGTCTGCTTTCCACTCAGGGCGTGATCCTGGGGTCCTGGGATCAAGTCCCGCATCAGGTTCCCCGCAGGGAGCCCGCTTCTCCCTCTGCCCGTGTCTCTGCCTCTCTGTGTGTCTCTCATGAATGGATGAATAAAATGTTAAAAAAAAAAAAAGGCACACATTATTTGAAGTTCGGGGACAAAGTCCCTGAAGACAAAGAACCCTCAATGCCTCCAAATCGCAAGGGGACACCCCGTCTCCCGCACGTCACCCACAAAAACGCACAACCGGCTCCGCCCGACACGCTGACACCGACTGTCGCTGCTGTGCCCAGCGCCCCCGGGTCTGTGCCCCGTCCGCTGACCCCCCCCCCCGGCCTGCAGGCGAGCTGCCCCTGTCCCTGGCCGCCTGCACCAACCAGCCCCACATCGTCAACTACCTGACGGAGAACCCGCACAAGAAGGCGGACATGCGGCGGCAGGACTCCCGAGGCAACACGGTGCTGCACGCGCTGGTGGCCATCGCCGACAACACCCGCGAGAACACCAAGTTCGTCACCAAGATGTACGACCTGCTGCTGCTCAAGTGCGCACGCCTCTTCCCCGACAGCAACCTGGAGGCCGTGCTCAACAGTGACGGGCTCTCGCCCCTCATGATGGCTGCCAAGACGGGCAAGATCGGGGTGAGTGGGGGCCGGCGGGTGCACACACACACACACACACACACACACACACCCAGGAGGGGCTGCTGTGGCCTGCATTATTGCTAACATGCACACCCCCCTCCTATCATGCCAACCTCATTGTGCAGATGTCCTGGCTCAAGAACCTGCTGTGGCTCCCTATGGTCCAGCCAAACTCCTCAACTTCACCCAGAGCCTGTGTGCTCATCCCGTGCCACTGGATGCTCAGGTCCTGCTCCCACCAGCCGGGACAAGCCACTGATAGAAATCTAAGTCCCAGGCCCCCAGCCCTGTAGAAGTCCCCTGTAATCCCCTGCCAGGGTCCTAGCTCAGCCCCTCACCTGCCGAGCAGCCCTGCACAGCTTCTTTCCCTCGCTGGCCTCATCCCCGAGAGGATTTCTCAGGCCGGGCGCTGCTGACATTTGCTTCTGGGGTGTGCGGCCTGTCCAGAGCAGTGGAGGATGTTTAGCTGCATCCCTGACCTCGAACCACCAGATAGCAGGGGTACTCCCGGCCACTGTGACAGCCCCCCCGAACTCTCCAGACATTGCCAGCTTGTCCCCTGGGCGGCACCGTTGCTCTGATTGAGAACCAAACCTGTAGGTCTCTGGAGTCAGGAGCACCTGAGTCCAAAGCCCCACTCAGCTACTTCCCAGTGTGTGGCCACAGCCATCTCCCATCTCCCCTCCGTGCCTCAGTGTCCTCTTCTGTAAAATGGGAATGAAAATAGTACCCAGGGGTATCACGTGCCATCTAGATAGGGTGATCCACTTAAAGCTCTTTAATGAAGACCCTGGGATGGGTAGTAAGTGCTCAGTAAATGGCAGAGATTATTATTGTTCTATTAAAAACATAGCAAAAGCTACTAAAATTGCAATTTATTCGAGAGTCTTGAGGCAAAAGCCTGAGTTTTAACTCTGATTTTGTCCTATTAGCCTGTGTGGCCTTGGGCAGTGGCCACCCCCTCTCTGTCCCTCAGTATCCCCTGCGTGTAAGCTAGTAAGATAGTAGCAGTAGCATCAGGGAGGACTGGATATAACAATTATTCCTAGATTTAACCTGTTAATAAGATTGATTTGTTGTTGTTTTAATTATATAAAAAAAATGTTCATCACAAGTCCGGTTTTTAAGGCTGGGCTGGTTCAGTCTGGCTTCAGCTGACTGCTTGTGTGGCCTCAGGGAGCAAACACCCTGACGTGAGCACAGGGGTCTGGCATGACCGTAAACATTTCCTCCCCGCTACATCCTGCGGTCTGGGGAGGCACCATGTGATGGGCTGTGCAGGGCCGCCAAGGGTCCCTCTGATGTGAGGGGCTGAGCATCGGTGTCCCTCCCCAGGGCTCCCTGACCCTCTCTTTTCCCCTGTGCAGGTCTTTCAGCACATTATCCGCCGGGAGGTGACAGATGAAGATACAAGGCACCTGTCCCGCAAGTTCAAAGACTGGGCCTATGGGCCAGTCTATTCCTCGCTGTATGACCTCTCCTCCCTGGACACGTGTGGGGAAGAGGCCTCTGTGCTGGAGATCCTGGTGTACAACAGCAAGATCGAGGTGAGCACCGGGGCAGGGGACAGGGCCTAGGGACGGTGTGGGGTGGTGGCTGCTGAGAGCAGGCAAGGGGCCCTGGGGCCGGGAGGGGCTCTGTAACACATGCTGTGTGACTCAGGACAAGTGACCCAACCTCTCTGAGTCCCAACTTCCTCTTTTGTAAAATGGGGATTGTTCCCATTCACGTCCCATAGGGTTGTTGGACGGACCAACTGAGTTCATTTGCGAACAGCCTGGCACAGAATAAACATTATATGTCAGCTATTATCATTAGTAGTCGTTAGATGAAGTTTTGAAAGCTCCTTTTTCCCACTTAACAGTATTTCTCGAACATTGTTCTGCACCATTAAATATTCCTCTGCAACATCATTGCTGCGAGTAAATGTACCACATTCTAATTAACCGTTCCTCTATTCTTGGTCATTTGGGTTTGTTTCTGCATTTAACTATCAGGAATAACACTGCACTAGCATCTCTGTGGCTGCATTGTTGCACAGATCCATGGTTATGAAGAAACTCAAGTCATTAACGGGACAGGATGCTGTGCAAAAAGGGCAGAAAACTCTGGGGACTGGGTGCAGGTCTCCTTCCTTCCCTGAGCTTGGACAGATGCCTTTCCTTGCTGGGGCTCACTTCCCTCATCTTTGAAATTAGTGACTGACTTGATTTAGGTTATGAGTGGTGGGTGGTTTAGCATCTCTGGTGCAAGCTTTGATTGACTGGTAGTGTCTGCCCGGGGACCTGTATAGAGAACTCTTGGGCGGAGTTCTCTCAATTATTGATGCCCGCCCCCCTCCAAGAATTGGAGAATTATGGTGAGTCAAGTGTCTTATCATCCTGGGGCTGAATTTCCCAATCCTGCTTCTGACTCACAACTTATGAGGTTGGAGCCCAGGGGTTCACATATTTTGACAAGCTGCCTAGGTGATTTTGTCACCAGCAGTTGGGTACCTACGGTCTACAGTTTGGAGTTTGGGGACCATGAGAATAGCTTCCCAGCTCTGGGTTCTCCGAGTCTAGAATAGGCTGGAAAGGTAAGTTGGGGCAGAATTGGGCAAAGCCTCAAATACCGAGCCCAGGAGTGTGGGCTTGATTCTGGATCCCCATCCAGTTCCCCGTGAATCCCTGAGTGTTGCTGAAGAGAGAGTTAGGAGGAGAAAGTGCTTTCAGGGCAGAGGGTGAGGGCAGGTGCACTGGAGCTGGCCTGCCCGGATTCCACGTGGACCCTGAGCATCCTCATCCCACCTCCCCCAGAACCGCCATGAGATGCTGGCTGTGGAGCCCATCAATGAACTGCTGCGGGACAAGTGGCGCAAGTTCGGCGCTGTGTCCTTCTACATCAATGTGGTCTCCTATCTGTGCGCCATGGTCATCTTTACCCTCACCGCCTACTACCAGCCTCTGGAGGGCACCGTGAGTGGGCGGGAGGGGGCGGGAGCTGGGGCACAACTGGGTCCTCCTCCGGGGGTCCCCCCGGGAGGGACTGGAAAAGGCTTGGGAATGGGATGGGGAGGTGCCCGCAGCACCCAGGGGGAAGAGAATCCACAGGACCCAGATGTTTGGGCGGCGGTGGGGAACATCTGGATCCGGGCCCGGATGGTGGAGGGGCTGGGTGAGGACCTGCACACCATGTACCCCCCCAGCCCCCATACCCTTACCGCACCACCGTGGACTACCTGAGGCTGGCTGGCGAGATCATCACGCTCTTCACTGGGGTCCTGTTCTTCTTTACCAATGTGAGTGGCTGGCCCCCAACTGCACCCACCCTGCCCGTCCTCCTTCCTACCTTTCCTATTTCCCCCCTTCCACTCCCTTCTTCTGCCTCCTCCTCTGCTTTTTCTTCCTTCCCCAACAGAAAAGAGCCCATCATCTTGAGGCGCCTGGGTGGCTCAGTTGGTTAAGCATCTGCCTTCGGCTCAGGTCATGATCTTGGGGCCATGGGATCGAGTCCCACGTCAGGCTCCCTGCTCAGTGGGGAGTCTGCTTCTCCCTCTCCCCCTGCCCCTCCACACCACCCCAGTCATGTTCTGTCTCTCTCAAATAAATAAAATCTTAAAAAGAAAAAGAAGAAAAAAAAAAGAAAAAGAAAAAAACCCTTCATCTTGTCTTTGTATCATACTCTGCCTCCCTCTCTCCTCTCTCCTCCCCTTTGCGCTCCTGCTAACTCCACCCCTCTTACCTGCCTCTTCCCCTCTTCCAGATCAAAGACTTGTTCATGAAGAAATGCCCAGGAGTGAATTCTCTCTTCATTGATGGCTCCTTCCAACTACTCTAGTGAGTAGAGGTCCCCTCTAATGAATAGAGGTCCCCAGGCTGGCAGCTTCTGGGTGGAAGGTGGGATTGGGGCTGGGATATCATCTAGATTTGGGAGTGGGGTGGGAAGGTGACTCTATTAGGAGTGGATTCACACAGCCTGGACAGCTGTAGCCCAAAGTCAGGACAAGGCCAATGTCAAGGAGTAGAGTCCTCTGGATAAAGTGAGATACTGGTTGCTGAAGAGTTATCACCATATACACCTTATATGGAAATAAGGTAACTTCTAATGCTGGTGATTGATTGCTAATGTCTTCCAGGAGTGCCATGTGAAGAACACATTTGTGTTTAGTGGGAAAGAGTGCTGTGCTTGATTGATGATGTCTGCCTGGGGCACAGGATTAGTTGCCACATGTGTACTACATCTTTTCGCTTTTTCTTAGAGAACAGTGAAATTCACTTAGCCACAAGATCTCCACTCAACACACTTTCTCTAGCAATTCCAAAGAGCATCACTGTGGGATCTTGTGGGGCCTCAGAGCCATTACACATGCATTAGTTGCCACCTAATTGAGCATTCTGCTGAACAGAATGCTGGGGAACCCAGTGAATTCACTTTTGTTTCTCTTCTGGGGATCCAGAAGGCATCTGGGTGTTCTGGTCTCCTGGAGGGCTTGGGGGCATGTCTACTCCTCTGGGACCTCACTGTCCTCTCTCCCCTCTGGACCCTCTCATGGCCTCTACTGCCCATAGCTTCATCTACTCCGTGTTAGTGATTGTCTCGGCGGCCCTCTACCTGGCGGGAATTGAAGCCTACCTGGCTGTCATGGTCTTTGCCTTGGTCCTGGGCTGGATGAATGCCCTCTACTTTACCCGTGGGCTGAAGCTAACAGGAACCTATAGCATCATGATCCAGAAGGTATGGGCCATGGAACGCTCTGGAATGTGTGTCCTTGGAGGGAGTCACACAGGCAATGCAGATGTGCAGCTTGCACATGTAGATGGTGCCCTCAGCCCAAAGGACCTGGGGCACTGTGAGGGCCACTGGCAGGGTCTGGACATCGTTGGAGGTGGGAAGGGACAAGTGGGGAGGTCGGAACACTTGGGATGGAGAAGTCGGGAAAGCGAGAAACCATGCATCTCATCTTTGTCTCCATATTCTCACTGGGGTTTTTAGATCCTCTTCAAAGACCTTTTCCGCTTCCTTCTGGTCTACTTGCTCTTCATGATCGGCTATGCTTCAGGTGAGCTCTGGGTAGCCAGGGGAACTTGGTGGGGGTGGCGCCAGGACTGGAAGGGCAGCCGCGGAATGTGGAGGACAACAGTGAACCTGTGCTAGGTTCTCCCCAGGTGCCAGGCCCTGGGCTGAGTCCTGTCCCATCCCCACCTCATTAGTTGCATCGATGGGACTGCGAAGTAAGTGCCTTCTTTTATTGTCCCCTTTCCAGGTAAGAAAACTGAGGCTTAGAAAAGTTAAATAACTTGCCTAAGTTCCCAAGCTAGGAATTGGTAAAACTGGCGTGTTAGCTATTATTGCTATTATTATTATTATTATAGCTATTATAATATATAATATTATAATAATATTATTATTATTCAGAAGCCATACAAATTTAGGAGTTAAAACAACCACTATTTATTTATTTGTTTGTTTGTTTGTTTATTTATTATTTTAAAAAGATTTTATTTGAGAGAATGAGTGAGTGAGAGCACAAGTGGTGGGGAGGGGCAGAGGGAGAGGGAGAAGCAGGCTCCCCGCTGAGCAGGGAGTCCCGTTTAGAGCTCAATCCCAGGACCCCGGGATCATGACCTGAGCCAAAGGGAGATGCTCAAGTGACTGAGCCACCCAGGTGCCCTGAATAACCTCTGTTTATTATTGCTCACAAATCTTGGGGTCAGCTGGGCAGTCGTGCTGACCCGGGCCAGGTTCAGCCCATTCCCATGAGCTCCTGTGTCTGCAGTTGCCTGTGGTTTGGCTGCTGGCTGGAGGGTCTAGTGAGGATGGCCTCGGTGGGGGTGACCTCACTCTCTTCCCCGTGGCCATCCATCCTCCAGTCAGCTTGGGCTTGTTCACATCATGGTCTGAGGGTTCTGAGAATGTAAGTGGAAGTGTTCAGGGTCACTGCTGGGCATCACTTCTGCTTCACTCTGTCGGCCAACGCAAGTGACAGGCCAGCCTTGCTCGAAGGTGGTGAAATAGATTCTACCTCTTGATGGAAAGACGCACAAAGTCACATTGAAGGAATGTGGATGGAGGGAAGGGTGAATTTTAATACTCAATCTACCAGTTCAGGTCAATTCTGGCTGTCTCCAATATGCCTTCTCCATGATGTCATGATGCCAGTGAACCTCAGTGGCACAGGCCATGGGGGAAGGGTCAGGGATGGGGAAACTGACTGAGTCACTGGGCTGGTCCCCAAGAGGTGCGTGAGCTGCCATCAATGCCTGGCATCCAAAAGGGAGTGGCTACTTCAGGCTTCACCAGGCCATGTTCACATCTGAGGAGGTTGTTCTGGGGATGAGCACTGAAGCAGGAGTCTGATGGTGGTGATACTTTAACCCAGAGAGTCCCAAGGCTCTGCTTGGAATTTGGAGGAAGCTGAACTGTACTGTTAGCTGGGGATATAGGGACAGGACACAGCTGCCCCCTCCCAGGGTTCGTACTGGGAAGAACTAGACAGAGGGTCAAGGGTTCCGTGATGTTTTGGGGTTCAGGTCCCAGAGTCAGCCCTACTGTGGTCCTAATTGTTGAAACTGAAGCAGACTCTTAGAGGTTAAATTAGCAACTGAGTGGTCAGCGTGGTTCCAAGGCTTCTCCTGCTAAGGGTCACTAGATCCCTCCTCTGAGGCTGACCTAACACAAACATGACACATGTGCCTTTTGTGCCCATGGCAGACATCACTAATGGATCACAGAGTGATTTTTCTGATAGGTCCAGATAAGGTCAGGTGAGGTCAAATAAGGTCTCAGAATCCTCAGTACACGTGTCAGCAGCTGCTACACACCTGAACAGCGATAGCCTGTGGGTTGAAGTGTGCTCGCCATAATCCCAGGATGAAGACACCATGAGATTGTATGCCCTGCCGACCGAGGGGCTCAGCCTCCCCATGCTCCCTGCCCTGGACGGCGTAGGGGAAGTTGTTGCTGCTGAACCGTGTTGAGAAAGATCCTGAAGCTTCCTTTGGGCTCAGTGGGAAGGGATGAGGGGGCAAGGGCCTTGGCAGGCATGACTTCTGGAACAGTCAGGGCTGACCCTGGGTTTTAGTTTGCACCTTTCATCTGTGAAGGAAATAGCATATTAGAGGGTCTGCCCCCGGGAATGCTGGAACCTCTACCAGCAATAGGCTAGATTAGGGTTTCCCAGCCTTGGCCCTGTTGACCCTTTGGGCCAGATAATGTTCTGTGGGCGCCGTCCTGTGCAAGGTCCTGTCCAGCAGCATCCCTGGCTTTTCCCCACTAAGTATCAGGAGTGCTGCCTCTCTGGTTGTGACTACCAAGCATCGCCAGACGTCCCCTAGGGGAAACGTGGCCCCTGGTTGAGAACTGCTGGACTAGATCCCAGGGACCTCTTCCTTGTTAGCAAGAGTTTGCAGAAAGAGCAAAGGCTTTGGACATTTGGCTCAGCTCATATGCTGGGTGACCTGGAGCCAGTGCACTCCCCTCACCAAGCCTCAGCTGTCCCCTCTGTTGAATGAGAATGGCGCTCTCCACCTGTCAGTGTGTGTTGTCACTCAGCAAATGTCACCCTGTCCCTCCCACAGCCCTGGTGTCCCTTCTGAACCCATGTGCCAACATGAAGGTGTGCAGCGAGGACCACACCAACTGCACGGTGCCCACGTACCCCTCCTGCCGTGACAGCGAGACATTCAGCACCTTCCTCCTGGACCTCTTCAAGCTGACCATCGGCATGGGTGACCTGGAGATGCTGAGCAGCACCAAGTACCCCGTGGTCTTCATCATCCTGCTCGTCACCTACATCATCCTCACCTTCGTGCTGCTCCTCAACATGCTCATCGCCCTCATGGGGGAGACAGTGGGCCAGGTCTCCAAGGAGAGCAAGCATATCTGGAAGCTGCAGGTGACACCCCGGGACCCTCGTCCCCACCCCGCCAGCCACCAGCTTCTTCCAAAACAGGGAGACCTGACTCACCGCACCTCCTTGGCCCTCCGCTCAGGGCAAGCTATGCCATCTCCTTCTGACTGCATCCCTGTCGTAAAATGGACATTGGAGGCTGCCACCTGCTTCCCAGAACCGCCTAGTCCATTTCCAGGTGGCTTTGTGCCTGGCTGCTAGCAGTGGTCTCAGACTCACCTTGTGGTCCAGCCTGCTGTGTGCCAGTCCAGGCACAGTCAGCTGCACCTCGCACCACTGAGTGAGCTCCATTGGCACAGGGAACGCTCAGAGTGTCAGTATTTCAGCAGGAGCCCTGCAATAACCCCAAGGGCAGCTTCTGAGCTCCCCCACAGCCCAAGAGACAGGGCTGGCATAGATGCAGGCCACTGCTGTGCCGGGAAGTGACAGTGTCCCCATCGGAGGGGCTTTTACCAGCCCAGATGTAGCCAGGCTCCACTGCCCCTGAGAAGCCAACGTGGACATGGGCCTCACTGGCACAGGGGAGCTGCTCTCTCTATTTCTCAAAGTTTTCTATGCAATTCTAGAAGGCAATGGCTCAGGGGGTCACAGCCCTCTCAAGCCCCATGCAGCTCACAAACCTGGGCATTCACAATAAACAGCGCTATCACCAGGCCAGGAACGTATCAGCCACATTTTCCTTGATTCAGTGCATTTCAAGGAAATGGTGCAATAAGAAGAAGAAAAAAAAAAGCCCCAAGACCATCCTCCCCGTTGTGGGTCTGGGGAAACACCTCGCTGCTCTTAATCTTTATGCATACCGCTTACTTCCTCAGGCCTCAGTTTCTCCACAGGGTGTAACTCATAAGATGCAAAGTGGCAACCTATGGACTGGGTTTGACCCGCAAAGATTTACGTTTTCTGTTTTGTCATATTTAAAAAAAAATAATAATGCAGACTTTTAAAATCAAGAGATTTTCTGTAAAAGCCTGATTTCTGGCCTTTCTCAAAAGTTGGAAGCCTGGCACGGTGGGCCCACGTTCCTTTCCAGCAATGCCCTGGGGAGGATGAGAGGCAGCTGCTTGCTCTACACCGGACTTGTGCTCCCTGGTTTGCCCCAGTCCTCACCCCTCCCTGGTGATTCCCAACACCAAGTGGTGACATAGTACATGTGTCACGGGGCCTGGGCTATGGCCTTCCTACCTCTGGTCCTGCTTCACTCATTTGTGCTCCTGCCGGACCCCGTGGGTATCTGAATGTAGGACCTTGCTTCCGGAGCAGTGGGGTGTGCATCATTTCTGCCATGGAGGCATCAGGTGCTGGTGGGGGAGGCTCACCAATCCTGCCCTCTGTCCCTCTCTGCAGTGGGCCACCACCATCCTGGACATCGAGCGCTCCTTCCCCGTGTTCCTGAGGAAGGCCTTCCGCTCTGGCGAGATGGTGACTGTGGGAAAGAGCTCGGATGGCACTCCAGACCGCAGGTGGTGCTTCAGGTGAGGCGGGGCAGGTGGGGCGGAACCATCCTGCGGGGCTCGAGTCTCCGACCTTTTCTACCCACTGCAACTTCTTGAGCCACTGAGGCCCAATGGGTCCCACTGGAGTTCATGTCTTCGGAGTGATCTTGGGTAAGACAGTTTCCTTCCCAGCCTGAGTTTCTTCAGTGGATCATAGCACCACCCCCAAGCAAGCTGGGTGGATTCGATCGAAGGACTTGGGCCATTGCCCAGATGCTCAGGGAGTGCCCGCTTCTTAGGGGAACCCCGGGTGAATATTTTCATAGGGTACCTAGAGTACAACTGTCATGTTTGGAGTCAGGCAAAGCCAGTTTCCTCATCTGTGATGTGGGGAAAGTGATAGCACCCACCTCATAGGCCAGCTGGTTGGTCCTGTTCAGTTTCCTGACTCTGATTTGTCAGCTTTGTGTCCTTGCCTGAACAGTGTGTAATGAGCCTGGGTTTTTGCATCTGTAAAAGTGGAACAGTGAATGTACCTTCCATGCTGGGTCATGATGTGTAGAAATGGCTCTGACTATGGGGGTCGAATGAAAACAACAAAAAATAATTTTACAGGCGCCTGGGAGGCTCAGTGGTTGAGTGTCTGCCTTTGGCTCAGGTCATGATCCCAGAGTCCTGGGATCGAGTCCCACATCGGGCTCCCCACAGGAAGCCTGCTTCTCCCTCTGACTGTCTCTGCCTCTCTCTGTGTGTTTCTCATGAATAAATAAATAAGATATTTTTAGAAAAATAATTTTACAAGGGGGAAATTAAATCGAGCCAGTTTGGGCCCAAGAAGCTGCCACCACTTTTGCCAGGGTGTCCCATAAATACGAGGAGAGGGTGTCAAGAGGCAGGGTGGCCATTGCAGATGAACAGATAAGCAAAACTCATGCGTCCATCATAAAAAGGACTGAAGTCCTGATGCATGCTTCAGCGTGGATGAGCCTTGAAAACATGATGCTGTGTGAAGGCAGCCACATGCAAAAGGCCGCACAGTATAGGATCCCATTTCTACGAGATGTCCAGGATAGGCAAATCCACATAGCAGAAAGAAGAACACAGATTACGGGGGGCTGGCAGGAGGGGTAGTGGGACTTACTGTATGATGGGTACAAAATTTCTGTTTGGGGTGATGGTAAATATTGGGAATAGTTAGCAGTGATGGTGACAAGACACGAGGTGGGGGGAATATATTTAATCCAGTAAATCGTATACTTAAAAATGGTTAAAATGGCAAATTTTATGTTATGTGTATTTTATCAGAATTTTTAGGCAAAGGAGGAGGAGGGGGGGGCTGGAGCAGGGAGGCTGCCTGGGGGTGAGGAAGAGGTGCTATCTGGGTGGTGGCTCCCCCTGACCCTTATGTCTGCTGTGGCCCTGCCAGGGTGGACGAGGTGAACTGGTCTCACTGGAACCAGAACTTGGGCATCATTAATGAGGACCCAGGCAAGAGCGAGAACTACCAGTACTATGGCTTCTCGCACACCGTGGGCCGCCTCCGGAGGGGTGAGTGCAGGGGGGTGGGGAGTATAGTGAGGGAGATCCAGAGGTGCAGAGGGGGAGCCCTGGTTATGCAGGTCCCTGATTTGCTTTGAGCAGTCCTATCCTCTTCCAGAGACTCACTGGTCCTGTCTGTAGAATGGGAGGGCCCGATGGGCTGGCCAGTGAGTTTTGGCCTTTGTTGCTCGTGAGTGTCTGGGGCTCCCTTCCCCTACACTGGGTACATGAGACACAGTGGACAGGACGCGGGCACTCAGGCATTCTGACCTGGGCTTGAATTCCGTTTACTCCTGGGTACTCCTGGGTTTGGTGCCTAGACCTCTCTGAGCCCCAGTTTCCACCTCTGTAAAATAAGGGTGATAGTCCTCCCCCTTTAGGTCACTGTGGAGTGCTGAGTACATAGTAGGCACGCACTACATGTGTACCTCCTCCACCCATCCTCACACCTCCCTGCCATACTCACGACAGATCGCTGGTCCTCGGTGGTTCCGCGCGTGGTGGAGCTGAACAAGAACTCGAACCCAGACGAGGTGGTGGTGCCTCTGGACAACATGGGGAACCCCAGCTGCGATGGCCACCAGCAGAGTTACCCCCCAAAGTGGAGGACTGACGATGCTCCCCTCTAGGGGCTGCGATGGGGCAGGGTCTCTGGTCTGCAGCCCAAGCTCATCCCTCCACCTGCCTGTTTCTACTCCACCTGCACTTCAGCAATGCCTCCTTGGGTGTCCTCCACGTGCTCCTTTGACCTCCAGAGGCGAGGGCCAGATGGAGATGAAGGGGAGGCCCCAGGACCCTCTGGTCCCCAGGCCCTTGCCCTCAGCTCCACCTCCCCACTGGGGGTATGAGGCTGCTGACTGCCCGTCTCACTCCCATGGAGTCACTAAGCCAATGCCAGGGTCTCTCTGCCCGCACGGGCTCAGACCCCTTCCTCTCCATTATTTATTTGCTCTGCTCTCAGGAAAGTGGTGTGGTCCTCGCCCCCAAAAGGAACCTGGCAAAGGCCTGAGGACGCCATTCCAGGTCACTGCTGGCCAACGCCCAGCCCCAGCCTATGCCCTAGGCTGCACGCAGCACCCCAAGCAGCAGTGTGGTGGCTTTGCTGAGGAGCCGGGGCCCTTGGGGTGGGGCCATGCCTTCAGTGTGTTCTGTAAAGGGTCTGGGATTTGTCGGTGCCAAATAAATGTTCATTCACTGATGGTGAAGGTGGTAGGGATGATGGTGAGTGGTAACGGCTATGGGGATAACAGTGGTGAGATGGGGGAGCTCAGAAATGCTGGTGGGGGCCAGGGATGAGAATGAGGAGCCGTGGTAGTGACAAAGGTGGTATTTAGGGTAATGGTTGGAGGCCAGACTCAGGGTGGCAGTGGTGGTGTGAGCTTAAGAGATGTGGATGAGCTTAGAGTGGAGGGAGAAGATAGAGTTGAAGGGAAAAGTAATGTTGGCTGGATGGGGGAGTAATGCCGGGGTAGCATCAGTGCTGGGGAGAGTAGTGTTAGTAGGGAGGAGAGAATGTAGGTGTGGGGAGCATCATGTTGGAGGGAAAGAGTAATGTTGGTGGGAATGAATAATGGTGGGGAGCGTAACATTGGTGGGAAAAAATAATGTTGGGGGAGAGTAAGATTCTGGGAAAGAGTAATATTGCTGAGGAGAGTATTAGTGGAAAGTACTATTGGTGGGGAAAGAGTAATGCAGGTGGATGGAATAATGGTGGGTAGAGTAATATTGGTGGAAAGAGTAATCTTGGTGGGGGGAGAGTAAGATTGGTGGGAGGAGAGTAATACTGGTGTGTAAGATTTATGTTGGTGAGGAGTAATGTTGATGAGAAAGTACTATTGGTGAGAAAAAAGTAATGTTGGGGAGAGTAATATTGATTGAAAAAGTAATGGTGGGAGGAGAGTAATGCTTGTAGGTGGACTGATGGTGAGAGGAGAGTAATGGTGGGGGAAGAGTAATGCAGGAGGGCAGAGTAATATTGGCAGGATGAGTAATGTTGATGGGGGGAGAGTATTGCTGGTGGGGGCAGAGTAATGGCGGGGGGAGGGAGAGTAATGTTGGTGGAGGAGAGTAATGGTGGGGCAGAGTATTGGCGGGGGGGGGAGAGTATTGCTGGTGGGGCAGAGTAATGGCGGGAGGAGAGTAATGGCGGGGGGGGAGAGTAATGGCGGGGGGAGAGTAACGGTGGGGGGAGAGTAATGTTGGTGGAGGAGAGTAATGGCGGGGGGGAGAGTAATGGCGGGGGGGGGAGAGTAACGGCGGGGGGAGAGTAATGGGGGGAGAGTAATGGCGGGGGAGAGTATTGCTGGTGGGGCAGAGTAATGGCGGGGGGAAGAGTAATGGTGGGGGGAAAGTAATGGTGGGGGGAGAGCAATGGTGGGATAGAGTAATGGTGGGGCAGAGTAATGGCGGGAGGAGAGTAATGGCGGGGGGGAGTATTGCTGGTGGGGCAGAGTAATAGCGGGGGGAAGAGTAATGGAGGGAGAGTAATGGCGGGGGGAGAGCAATGGTGGGGGGAGAGCAATGGTGGGGGAGAGTAATGGTGGGGGCAGAGTAATGGCAGGGGAGAGTAATGGCGCGGGGAGAGTAATGGCGGGGGGGAGAGTAATGATGGGGGAAAGTAATGGCGGTGGGGAGAGTAATGGCGGTGGGGAGAGTAATAGCGGGGGGGAAGTAATGGTGAGGGGAGAGCAATGGTGGGGGAGAGTAATGGTGGGGCAGAGTAATGGTGGGGGAGAGTAATGGCGGGGGGAGAGTATTGCTGGTGGGGCAGAGTAATGGTGGGGGGGGAGAGCAATGGTGGGGAGAGAGTAATGGTGGGGCAGAGTAATGGCGGGAGGAGAGTAATGGTGGGGGTAGAGTATTACTGGCGGTGCAGAGTAATAGCGGGGGAAAAAGTAATGGTGGGGGGAGAGTAATGGCGGGAGGAGAGTATTGCTTGTGGGGCAGAGTAATGGCGGGAGGAGAGTAATGGCGGGGGGAGAGTATTGCTGGTGGGGCAGAGTAATAGCGGGGGGAAGAGTAATGGTGGAGGGAGAGTAATGGCGGGGGGAGAGCAATGGCGGGGGGAGAGCGATGGCGGGGGGAGAGCGATGGTGGGGGGAGAGCGATGGTGGGGGGAGAGCGATGGTGGGGGGGCAGTGATGCGGGCGGGAAGGGTAACGCTGGCGCAAGGACAGCAATGGCAGTCCTTCTTGCATCTCTTATGAAGCAGGAAGCCTTTCCCTGTGTTATTGGCTAGAACCTTGTCACGTGTCTCACGCTCCAGCCAATCAGCGGGCAGGGAGCCACAAGGTCCTAGAGCCGATGGACCAATGGGGGAAGGTGCCCCCCACCCCACCCCACCCCACCCCACCCCACCCCACCCCACCCCGCGTCCGCGCAGGCGCAGGCCTGTTTCCCGACGCCCGCTCATCCCGGGTGTGGAGAAGAGCCCGAGGGGCAGGCAGGGCCCGTGGGCCGCAGGGCTGGAGCCGGGGACGGCGCTGGCTCCCGCAGGCCGCAGGGAGCGCGCGTGGACTGTGGGGGCTTCCGCAGGAGAGGTGCGCTGGATGGTGTGGGCGCCCGGGCCTTGGCGGACGGCCTCCTCCCCCTGGGCAGAGCAGAGCTGAGCACCCTGGCCTGGCGCAGCGCTCCGTGTTGACCCGCGGCCGGTTGGCAGAGACGCCGCGCTGGGCGCCCCCGCCCCGCCCCGCCCCGCCCCGCCCGGCCCGCCGGGCCCGCAGGCTGAGAGATCCGTGGAGCAGAGCCAGCCTGCTGACGCCGCGGGAGCACCAACGATGCTGTGAAAGAACGGTTTTCGGTTTTCGTAGGCCTATGAGGGGTGTTTTGTTTTGTTTTTTTAAGGGCCGGCATCGATTTCTGTGGCAATAGCGAAGGGCTGCGGTGTCCACTGCACCCCATGTTTTAGATGAGGAAACCAGGGCTCAGAGAGGTGAAGACCCTTGCCCAGGGCCCCGGCTGGGAGGCGGTGGAGGTGGGATTTGAACACCCACATTCTGCCCTTGGAGCCCATCCCGGAAAGAAAACACTCCGCCCCCCAGGGGTGGTGACAGGTGGCAAGGCCAGCGCTCCTCTGCCCCGAAGACCCTGGCTGTGGCCTGCCACTTTTGCCAAGCCCCCCGAGACTGTGGGCTCCCATTTACAACCCTCCTCTCTCTCTCTCTCTGAGCATACCCCTAACTTTATGCCAACCCGGATTTCTTATTATGTGCGTGTGTGTGTATTTAATAATGATAAAGCACTTGTATGTCATATTTGACAGGAGGGCTTTTTTCATCTCAAGTTTAAAGCACTACTGGGAAATAATTAGCGCTACTCGAGTCAAAAACAATGGGACCCCATCAGAAAAGACAGTCTCCGAAACCCTCAGATCTTAATTGAACAATTACCTCTTATGCCTATGAATACTTCATTATTACATGCCCTGTTATTATTAGCTGTTATTATTGTTTTAGATGAATGCTGGGGATTTTTTAAAAATCAAAAGCCATTTTCAACCACACTGTTCATCTCCCTGGAAAGCATACTTCTGACATTTCCGAATGCAATAACGTCTTAGCCGGCAGCCTCCACGCCTTGCCCGGAATCCGGTGTATTCTGATCATTCGGTTGTTTGGATGGAGCCGGAGCCGTTCAAGACTGCAGGCCTCTGTTCATACTGTCAGTAACTGCTGACTCCCTGGTGAAAGAATTTGCATGAAAACCGTGTACTTCCTACCTTTTAATTTTTAGGAGCCCTCAGCCATCATGGCCAATGGGGAGATCTTTGTCTACCCCCCACCCCAGCTTATGAGATCAAGCGAAAGGAGGGCTGGTGGTGGCAGTAGGGGACAGGGTGGAAGGGGCGCTGGCCGTGGAGACCCAAGCCCGGGGAGGGAGGCGGGCTGGGCATCTTCTGTTCCTGGGGGTGAATCACAGAGAGGAGGAAGCAGGTGAACAGAGTGCTGGGCACTGTGCACAGTGTTTGGTGTTCGCATCTCAGGAACCACGTGTGGGAATGAGGGTCAGGTGTTTGATGCCTCTCCGAGGCCGCCACCCCTCTTCTTCACAGCATCTGGTTTGTTCACTCCACAGTCAGGGGCTTCCCTGAGCCAACCACTGTGACTCTCTTTCCCTTACTAGGGATTGGTTGAGGAATTGCCACGTGAGCCAGTTCTGACCTATGAGACAAAAAGGGAAGTCTGCTGAAGGAGGGGGTTTCTGGGAAAATAAGAGAAATATAGGAAGACAGGGTCTTCCCCTTTGCTGGGCACTGTCAGGTCTGTGATGTGATGCCTGGAACTCCAGCAGCCATTCTGTGACCCTGAAGGGGCTTGGTGGAATAGAAGGACGGAAAGGGGTCTTCGATGATATCATTGAGCTGCTGAATTAACCCAGCCCTGGGGGCCGCCCTACCTTAGGGCTTCTTATGATTGTTGGAGATAGTAGTTTTGCTTTCTCATTTAAACCAACGAGTCAGGGTTTCCTGATACCTTGCCCAAATCAGGCGGATACCAGAATATATTTGGATCCCTCTGTTACAGATGAAGAAAGTGAGCTCCAAAGAAGTGGATGCACCGCCTAGATGCAGTGGGGTCAGGATTTGCCCCCCTCTGTCCTGGAAGGAGAACCCTCCTAGGGGGTTGGCAGAATTTTTTTCTTGCCTAGTGTTTTTCCAAAGCGTGTGCACATCCATTTCTCCCTGAGAACAGCCTGTAGTGGGTTCTAACAGGTGAGGACAGGGGAGGTTGGGTGAAGCTGGGACTGGAACCCAGACGCGTACCCTGACTTCAGCACAGCAGAATCTTCCCAGCATCTCCACGTGCTCAGTGACATCAGAGAGTCCCTTACCACCCCCAACTCCCCCGCCCCCCACCTCCTTTTGGGCTGCACCCAAGGGATACCACAGATAGCCTTCGCCTGCGCAGGGTGGGACTGCTGATCCTGGAGATTGGCCACCAGGGGCCGCTGTAGTCACACCCAGGGGCCTCCTCAGAAGAGGCCCTAGGGAACTGGAACCAGCCAGTCTGGTTGGGAAGAGGCCCTAGCTGAGCTCCCCACTAGGTGTGCCCTGAGGCTGTTAGACTCAGAATTCCCTCACCTCCCAACCAGGAAAGAAGGTGACCCAGATCTGCCTCTGGGGAGTCTAGATGCTGTGTGCCCTCAGGTGAGTTGCCTTCCCTCTCTGAAGTTCACTTTTGTTATTTTCAAAATAGGGGTACCCACCCCCACTTGTCAGATGAGGGCTTCCTTCTGTCCTTGGGGGTCCTTTCCCTCCTTTGGGCCTATCTCAGCACAGTGGACAAAGACCAATTAGGATGCGGTGGCCCCAGAATTGAGGCCCATGACTCTGGGTCGGGTTGGATTCCAGTGCCAACTGGGGAAACTGAGGGCTACACATCACTAGAGAGAAGAAGGGACTTACTCGGTTTCGCTAATTGCAACACAAGAGGTAGGACTCTATTTCCCTAAGTCTTTGCTCCTAATGAATAGAAACAAACACTCAGGTGATCAAAAATATTAGGGAAAAGCTGGGTTAAAGCCCAAAGTGTACCTTGCCTGCAGTACTTTTTAGAGCCTTTAATATGCTAATGCGATTTGTGCATCTCTAAGGTGGGGGAAGGGGATGCATCTGTTTCTCTAACTCTTTTTAACCTGGAAACCCATTTTCCAAAGTGACTGCAGCTGGACCAGATGATGATAGAAATAACAAGCCTGACTTTTTGGGCATCTTGCTCCAAGCTGACTCTGTTCTTCGTTCCCTAGGGGACTCGACCACTTATTTCCTATTTTCAACCCCACATGGTTGTAATGTGCTTGTAATATCAGTCTCTCTTGGCAGTGAAGAAATAGGCAGCTCAAAGCGGGGTGGTTCCTTGCCAAAGGCCACATGCTCATGACAGGCAGAGTCAGGACTGGAACCAGGACTGTCTGAGCCTCAAACCTCTAGACCCCACTGCCCTCAGGCGGGTCCCTCTCACGGGACTTGGGACTCCTTTGCCCTGTCATCCTGATCACACATCCCGGGTGACATCCCCATCCTTCAGAGGCCACCACCTCCTTTGCCAGATCTGGAATTGAGGCTCAGAGAGGCCACACAAGTCCCCCCCAGGGTCACATATGGAGAAACTGAGGCCAGCTTTCCTGCCTCCTCCCTTCCCACTACCACTCTCTTAAGGAGCTGGTGATGGTGGCGATTTAAATAGAAATCCTTTTGTCGGGCAGCCCGGGTGGCTCAGTGGTTTGGCGCCGCCTTCAGTCCAGGGCGTGATCCTGGAATCCCTGCATGGAGCCTGCTTCTCCCTCTGCCTGTGTCTCTGCCTCTCTCTCTGTGTGTCTCTCAAGAATAAAAAAAAAAAAAATCCTTTTGTCCAGCGGTACCCCTGGCTGGGCCCCACCTTCCAGACCTGTACGGGGGGTGGGGGGCAGGTGGGGACCACAAAGGCCCTTTAAGGCGGCCTGGGTTGCACAGGCACAGTGCGGCGCGGGGGGACAGGGTGCGTGTGGAACCCACGTGGGGGCGGAGTCCGGGCGCAGGTGGAAGCCCCAGGGCAGGCTGGAAGTCAGCAGGCTGTTGCCAGGCGAGTTCAGGGGGTGACCTTGTCTGTCTCCCCTCTCCAGAGGCCTGCGGAGGAGTCAGGAAAGCTCAGAGCTACCCAGGAAGGGTGAGTGTCCCCCGAGCCCCCTCCACTCAGGTGTTTGCCAGGGCCACTCTGATGTCCCTGTAAGACGGGGCGATGATCTCCTGGCAGCTGCTGCTGACAGCAGGTGTAACCCCGGGCAGGTTATGTGCCCGCCACACCTGGGGACCGTGTGGTACAGCTCAGCCCGAAGGGGTGTGAGCCCAAGACACCAAAGGGAGAGAAGGAGCCGTGTCCCCATGAGAGACTTAAGGACAGAGGAAGGCGTGCAGCTCTGCTTGAGGTGGGGGGCAGGCAATGGCAGGTTCTTCCCCCGCCCCCTCACCAGCACGGAGTCCTGCAGCCAGGGGCGTGGCCCCCAAGGCTGGACCTGTGTGCGGGAGCCAACTTGGCCATACTTGGGGCTTGGCCCAAATATTTTCTGTTCTCTGCGCAGTGCAGTCGTTCCGACAGGCCCGGGTCCTGCCCCAGCTGTTTCTCTGTTCCCCACCCTCAGCTGCCTTGGGGCAAAATGATTGCCCTCCTGGGGGCCTCCTGGGCTCACCTGCCATGTGGGGACCTGCACCTGTCATGCCGGGTAGTTACGAGGGGACTAGATACTGTCTAGCGCCGAGCCCGAGGATGGGCCTGCCTGCGGTGACCGCGGGCCGTTGTAGCAATGACAGCGATTCCACGTCGTCACCTGCGCTGCCCCCCAGTGTGGCAGGTAGTCCAAGGTGATTCTATGAATGAAGGCCGGGCCTGCTTTGAGACCAATTAGCCCTCTTCCCAGGGAGGTGCCCAGCTGAGGCACCCGGAGAGCCGGTGTTAGCTGAGGGCTGGGACCCCAGCTGGACCCTGGGGCCCGGCCCAGACTGTCTGTGCCACGTGTCCCCACTGTCCTGTGCACAGAGCTGCAGACCCCGCCACAGCCGTTGAGCTTTTCCCAGATCAGAGGTGGGCCCTCCACCCACATCTCTAAACGGGAGGGACCTGGCTGGAGGGTGGCTCCAGTCTTGCTTCCTTGTGCTCCTGATGCCCCTGTGTGGGTGGGCCTGGCAGGGAGTCCAGGACAAGGGGACCTGGACTATCCAGAGACCGTGTTGGTGTAGCGTTGGACCCTGGGAACAGCAGAGCCACAGGCCACCACCTGGCCCTAAACCTGGCCCCAGACCCTGCTGCTCCACCCCTGCCCCCAAGTCCCTGCACCGTGCTTTCGTGTCCTATCTGGTTCAGGGTCACCCCAAGCGTCAAAGCCAGGATTCCAGCCTGCTGTGAGGGTGGAAGCTGCGGGAGAGGTCTGGGGCATCTGGAGGTGGCCTGGGCCGAGGTGTGGGACCTGAAGCCGGAACTTGGCTCCCTCTTACCATCCTGTGGCCGTTCTCAGTTTCTGTGTTCCCGACTGTAAAGCAGGGATGATTTGGTTACACACCTGGTAACGTGGTTGAGACTGTTTTGGGAGGGCAGCTGCTTTCGTACCATTTGTGGTCCCTCCTGGTGGCCTTATGCGGCACTGACTCTCATTGGCTTGTCACCCAGCACCCCTGGGCTGCTCCCCAGGGTGTGACGGGTGCTGTGCTTGGCTCACTGACCCACTTGAGAAGGGCCTGGGTCCTGCCCTAGCACCCAGGTAGGGCTCTGTGCATGGGAGGGGGAGACTTGCACCAGATAGGGGGCTCTCCAGGTACTCGCCCCCACCCCCGCTGGATGGCAGACTTCCCTGCCGGGGGATAAGGCAGAGACGGGATGTGAGGAAGAGTCCATGGGGTTCAAACCCCAACTTTTCAGACTTGCTGTGTAACCTTAGGTTCACTTCACATCTCTGAGCTTTGGTTTCTTCCTCTCAGAGGCTTAGTACCTTACAGGAGATGGTAAGGCTCCAGTGAGATGTGGTGTATGTGCAATACCCAGCACCAATTCCGGATAGATGCTGAGCATCCTGCGTGGTCTCCTGCAGACCCCCCGGCACCCAGGGCCTGGGGCGCATGTGTGTTGGGCTGGCCAGGGCCATGGTCAGGCCCATGGAAGCTTGGAGGGGGTCAGGCACAGAGGAGAAGATGGGAAGGAATTTAGTGCTGTGAGGGGTGTGTGTGTGTGTGTGTGTGTGTGTGTGTGTGTGTGAGAGAGAGAGAGAGAGAGAGAGAGAGAGAGAGGCCGACCATCCCTAGACCGCCTCTGCACCTTGCAGGGAATGAGCCAAGGGGCCTAGGCTTGGTTCTGCCCCCACCACTCTGCAGACTGATCGCTGGCCACGGCCCAGTGGCCTTCGGCCTGTGTGCTAACGTGACGGCGTCCACCTCTAAAGAGCTGGCAAAGCAAGTGGGGCACGGAATGCCCAGCAGTGGGTGCCAGGAGCTCCCGGCCGGCTTCCTCGGGGCTCTGTGCCCGGCCAGCGCGGGAGGAGGCAGCCCGTTTCCCTCCTAAGGGAAGGAAGGAAGGAAGGAAGAACAAAGCGAGAGCTACAGAACAATGCCACAGCTGAGACACCATCTGTGTTTTCCTTCTTTTTTCTTTCTCTTCGTTTTTAAAACAATATAGTGCAGACTGCACTTCTCACAGTAGAATATAATGGTCAATTTTAGTATAAAAAAAAAAACATTCTCAGAGATTTGTAAATGCACTTAGTGCTTGAACAGGCCTTGGAGAGATACAGTACCGCTTCCGGAGTGCCAGAGGGGCCGGGGCTTGGGGAATTCGGGCCTGGGGGATGTAACAGCGGGTGAGGGTTGGGGGGTGTCCCTGCCTGCCTCCCCCGCCCCTACCCTCAGTGGTGTGCAGCAGGCCTTGGAGGGCAGCTTGCAGGAAAGGAGCTGGATGGAGTCTCCCAACTAAAACCAGTAGGTTGCCTCCTTGCTGGTTCCCAGGAGAACCCTTGAAGAAGGCAGGGTAGGGTCCCTTTGACTGGTGTCTAAGATGGCAGGCCCACCGTTAGCCCCTGTGGTGCCTTTGTGCGAATAGGGGAAATGGCACCCCTTCCTCAAGATTCAGAAAATTGCCATAATAAATATACAAGTCTAGGATGCAAATGGTGTCTCCTTGGACAAGGTGCCCTTGTGCAGTGCACAGCCTGTACAGCTGTGCCCAGCAGCCCTGTAAGATGTGGAGAGAAGGGGGAAGGTGGTAGTACAGGGTTTGGAGAGATTGGGGACAGGGGTACAATTCTGTGTTGGGAAGGAATGGGAGGAGGGGAGGGAGGATCTAGAGGAGGAGGAGGAGCAGGGGGGACTGGTAGTCCTTGGAGCCTCTGTTAGAGTGGTCTTCACCTGGATTGGCCAATGGGGGACACTGTAGGCCCTGTGACTCCCTTTCCCCTCTCTCTGCTCCTTTTCCAGGAGACTGGGGAGCTCGTGGGGGCAGGAGATGTCTGACCCCTGGGGGGCTGCTCTGACCCCACCCTGACTCTAGACCATCACCTGTCCTGTATCCCACCCTGGCCTGAGCCCCTCTCCTGGGAAAGCCAGAAAGAACCATTCCTGTTTTAAAGTGGTTTCTCTCTCCCTGCCTCTGCCAGCTTGGATGGAGGAAGTGGTGGACGGCAGTGGCTGCCCTGGGCCCTCCCCATGTCCTAGGGCAGCCGATGGCAGGGAGGGGCTTAGGGGAGCCAGGTCGCCCTGCTGCTCCCCATCGGGTGGCCGCACGGCAGCGGCGGCCAGCCTGGCTTCCCTGTGGGCATCCACGGGCACTCGGGCACAGGGCGAGGTCGGGTGCCCCAGTGCGCCGCCCACCCTGTTCCGCGGCCTGCCTCCCCGCTCGGCGCCCTGTCCGTCTGTCCATGTGGCCGCCGGGCAGGCCTTATCTGTAGACGGGCAGGCGGATGTGGGCGTGCTGGTGGTCGAGCAGCCGGGGCACAGCCACCGTCTCGTAGCCCTTGCCCAGCATCTGCTCCTTGATGCAGGGCGGCCGGATGTCATTGATGAGATACTCCAGCGACTGCAGGCTGCTGCTCAGCACGGCCGTGTTACACACGCTCTTGCTGGGCAGGCCCGAGAGGGCTTCCACGGAGGGCCCCGCCAGCTCCCGGGCCGCCCCCGGCCCCAGCTCGGTGACCGCCACAGCCGCCGCCGGGTTGTAGCAATCGCTGGTGGGGGTCACCAGCACGCTGTTCCAGGGGGCGGCGAAGTACTGGCCCACGGTGAAGCCGGTGGGCAGCCCCATGCCGCAGTTGAGGGGCGACCCGCTGGCCCGCTCGTATACCCGCCCCCCGCAGGCCTCGGGGGACTTGCTGGCCACCGTGCCACCGCTGTAGGCCCGCAGCGGCTGGGGCGGCGGCGGGGGCGGCTTCTGCGGCCACAGCAGGTAATCCAGGCCGCCATCCGCGTAGCCCGCAGGCTTGGTGGCCGCAGCCAATGTCAAGGCCGCCGCGCTTCCCTGGCCCAGCTCGGCGCCCTTCCGGCAGTCGGGCAGGCCGGTGGCGGCGGCCGAGTAGGCCATGCCGGGGAAGCCGGGCACGGGGCCGTGCTTGGCCGGGCTGGGGTGGGGACCGGCCACGGCCTGGCAGGTGGCGGGCGCGGCGCCCGGGGCCTGGCACTGCTGGTTGAGCTGGTACAGGATGCTGTGGATGGAGGGCAGGTTGGAAGGCGGCAGGGGCAGGCCGCGGCCGGGCAGGGGGATGACGGAGGCGGCGGTGGCGGCGGCCGCGGGCAGGCCGGGTGGTGGGGCGGGCGCCTCCGGCGGCTTGGGGTAGGCCAGGGGCCCCAGAGTGCTGGGCGCCGGGTAGGGCGCGATGCCCACCTGCACGGCCGCCGGCGACAGCTTGGTCCGCTTGCCCTCGGCGCTCTTGAGCACGCTTTTGGCGGGCCCGGTGGGCGCGGCGGCACCGGAGGAGGAGGAGACGGCGGCCTTGACGATGGCCAGCAGGCCCTGGTAGCCGGCGGCATGCTGCGGGTAGGGGCTGTAGCGCTGGCCGCTGGTATCATAGCCGTTGACGGTGCGGCCCAGGTGCTTGTGCTGGGGCACCCGGATGTTGGTGGGGAAGATCTTGATGGACAGCGGGCTGTTGGCCACCTTCTCGGCGTAGGCGTCCAGCTCGGCCGGGCTCGGGTAGCGGGACGAATGCATGGAGCTGGCCGCCGTCTCACCTGTCGGGGAGACAAGCCGGAGAGGAAAGTGCAGGTGAGAGCTGCCCCCCTCCTGCCCCGTGACCCGGGGAAGCCTCGAGGCTGTGCCCCCCCTCCCCCTGCCCCACGGTGCTCACTCTGCCCCTCCCTCCATCGGTTCCCCATCCATCCCCTCGCTCCTCCATCTGTTCCTTCACTGCGAAGCTCTGGATTGGGTGTAAAGTCCGGGAAGGCAACCGCACACATCATAAGCTGAACTTTCGCTGACGGAACACAGTCCTGTGACACCCCTGCGGCCCAGAGATGGGATATTCCAGAGTGTCCAGTCCCCCAGAGTCCCCTGCGGCCCCGCCCAAGCCAACACCTGTCCTGACTTCTGACGCAGTGTCTGTACGGGTGGGGATGGAATCCGGCCATGCGTCTCCATCGGCATCGGCCTCTGCCGCTTAAGGTAGTCTGTGGGATTCGCCTGGGGGGCCGTGGGTTGTGCTTTCTCACTGCTGCGCGGTCCTCGTGTGGGACACTACGTCACAGTGTACTCATCCTTCCCACCGTGATGGCATCTGGGCCTTTTCCAGTTTGGGGCCGATACACACAGCACCACGCAGTCTGGTGCACACAGATCCGGTGCGTTCTGTTGGGACCATGCCCAGGAGGGGGATCCGGGGCAGGGGAACATGCAGCTTTAGGAGAAAATGCCCCGCAGTTTGCCAAAGAGACTGTGCCAGGCCACACTCCCCTTACAGTGCAGGAGCTCCAGGGGCTCCACGCCCTTAGGGAGGCCATTCCTATTTCTTCATTATCCTCTCTGTGCCCCCCTCCCTTCCCTCATCTGTAAAATGGGGCGATGATGACGTGCCAACCTCTACGGGCTGGTTAAGTGTGCAGCTACATGCGCAGAGCCCAGCACAAGGCCTGGAACGGGGCACCCGGAGAAGGCAGACAGAAGCTGCTCTGCAGCCTTCCGCTGGCTGCTCAGAGGCCCTTGCTCAGCCAGGAGGCAGGCGAGGAGGGACTTCACCCACCTTGGCTGCTCAGCCCCTCCCTGAGGCTGCCCATCACCTGCAAGTCCAGCGTGGTGATAATCACTGCTTTTTCCGCACGCTGTCAGCATGGGGCTGAGGATGCACTTTGTGTGACAGGCTGACTGTCCTACTCTTGGTGGCACAACTGGCCCCTGCCATGGGGGAGGAGGGTTGCTGGTAGGCAAACCCCCCCCCCCCACTTTCTGGCATCCAAAGCCCCTCCCTGTGTAGGGAAGGGAGCAGGGACCTGCATGAGATAGAGGGGAAGACCCCGGGCTTTAGAACTGGTCGGCTGCATAGAATCCTGTCTGCTTGTGGCACTTTGTGGCTCTGGACAAATGGCTTGCCTGGATGAACCTCAGTTTCCCCACCTGTGGAATGGGGATCATGATTGTGCCAGTCCTGCGGGGTGGCCTGAGGGAATGAGCAGAGCAGAGGGCGTGAGGCACACGGTCAGTATTGTAGGGTGGCGGCCTGTCTGGGCCATTGAGCAAGGGAGAGCCCCTCAAGGTCTCCACAGCACCTTGCCTTCCTCCTGCCCCATGAGCACCCCTGGGGCCCACCAGTGACCCCCAGTGCAGGGACTTGAGAATGGGACTTCCCCACTTTGAGCCTCTGTTTCCTTATCTGTAAAAAGGGGGTGATGCTGCTGGGGACATTGCCTCCCAGGGTGGTTGCGAATTCTAACGAGTTGTGCATGGTGGGGTGTGTTAGTAGAAGCAGGTGCTCTCTACCCTGGGAGTGGTAACACCCTCCCCATCTGCCTGGGACAATGGTATCCTGGGGAGGAAGGGGCAGGGGCTAGCGCTATCCTTTTTTAAATTCAATTAAATTATTTGAGAGAGAGGGCAGAGCAAGTGAGAGAGCACAAGCAGTGAGGAAGGGGCAGAGGGAGAAGCTGAGCAGGGAGCCCTAGCGAGGCTCAATCCCAGGAAGGCAGATGCTCAACCAACTGAGCCAACCCACATGCCCTGGGCTGCCCTTTCTCTGACCAGCACAGGCGGGCCTGGCATTGTGGCTGGGGCTGAGGGCAGACCCCACCACCTTCCTCCCCATTAGTTGGAAGGCCTTACCCCATATCCCATCCTTCCAGAGCCTCACCCCCAATCCCCTTGTTGGGCTCAGCCAATCTGAGCAAAATGTGTGCAATAGGAAGGCACAGGCATTTGGGGATACAGCGGAGCCTCATTCAGCCAGGCTTTGTAAATCAAGACAGCTTTCTAGAAGAAAGAGCATCCCAGTTAAGGCAATGTTGAAAGGGGTGAGGAGAGAGCAGAGAAACAGCAAAGGCAAGGGTCCAGAGGTGAGGAAGTATGTCCCGAGTGGGAACTGTAAGTAATTCAGAATGAGAGCAGATGCCCAGGGCAGACATGTAGAAGAAAGGCGGCCTGGGAGGGCATTGGGCTGGTGCAGAGGGGGCCTCTTCACTGTAGGGCAATGGTTCTCCCCCCGAGGGCACACTGGCCAGTCTAGTGATGTGTTCCATTCTCATACTTGGGTCAGGGGAGCCTCCACCCCAGCTACTGGTATCCAGTGGGTAGTGGCCAGGGATGCCACTGAACATCCTGGGTGAACAGGAAATCCCCTCCACAAGGAGTGTTGGAGAAGTCCTGCCTGGGCCATCGGCAGCCAGGCAAGGTTTTAAGCAGGGGAGGGGTAGCGGCAAGCATGTGTATTAGAAAGGTCCTTCCTTGGGATCCCTGGGTGGCTCAGCGGTTGAGAATCTGCCTTTGACTCGGGCATGATCCCAAAGTTCCGGGATCGAGTCCTGCATCGGGCTTCCTGCATGGAGCCTGCTTCTCCCTCTGCCTGTGTCTCTGCCTCTGTGTTTCTCATGAATAAATGAATAAAATCTTAAAAAAATATATAGAAAGGTCCTTCCCCTATACCCTGAGGTGCAGGAATGTGGTCTGACCTGGGCAGGACAGCAGGCAGGGGAGAGGTAGGCAGCCCTCAGCCTCCCAAGGAGCCCAGGCCAGTGCCCCTCATCCCTCTGTCCTAATCCAGACCTGGCAGGTGGAGCTGACCCTGGCGGGCCACAGGCCTCCGTCTTGACCCTGCTTGGGGCAGCCCCCTCCTAAGTGGCCTAAAATAAACTCAGTGTGGAGAATGGAAATGTCACTTTGGCCAACGGGGGAATCTTTCTCCGAGATTGGATTTAAACTACATTATACAAGCAATTTCATGGGCACTTAGCGCCGCTCGGAGAGTCCCGCAAAAAAGGGACCAGCTCTTCATTTACCAGCCATAAATCAGCAGTTGCTATAATGAGCACAAAAATGTCACTTTTATGCAATTTTACAGATGAACAAAACTGGTGAAATTAACTGTGGTAACCTACTATAGTCAGCAAAAGCGGCTGCCGGGGAAAAAAAATATATCTGTATGTATTTTTGTTCCTCTTAAACCCTCTTCCCAAGCAGGTTTCTGCCATTGTGGTGTGAAAACTCATTTGTCCTCACCATTATACTTTCATTTGGAGTTTATCTTGAGTATCCAATGAGCCACCAACTGTGAAAATGATTAAATCTACAAAATCTATCTAATGGATGGAATAAATTAGGTGTTTAAAACCTTTAAGAAGAAGAAGAGAGGGGGGAGAAAAGTCCTGCCTATTACTGGTTCCCAGTTGCTGAGAGGAGACCGTCTGGGCCCCAGTGGGTCGGCAGGACTCCATGGGGGTGGGTTGGGCCCTCCGGCATTTGTGGGAGCCAATGGAGGCTGCCCTGAGTATGAGCCAGGCTCTGGGTCCACAGCTTTTCTTGACGTCTCTTGTTTGGAGCACCTGACCTCTCTGAGAGCCAGGGGCCCTCATTTTACAGATGAGGAAGTAGACCAGTTAAAGCATCTGGCAGGCAGCCTCCAAGGTCTGCCACACCCCCTTTGCAATCCTCCTCACCTCCTGGTACTCGTGCCTGTGTGCAGTCCCCTCCCAGTCCAAGCGGGGCTGACCCATGTGGCCTATGAAGTCCCATGGAGGTGAAGCAGTGTGACTGTCATGGAGGCACTGGGTTTTCCCATCACTCACACGCTCAGATCACTTGCTCTGGGAGAAGCAGCCACCACAGGAGAACACAGAACAGCCCATGGAGAAACCCACAGGAAAAGAAATGGGGTCTCCCACCCACAGCCGTGTGAGGCAGCCTTCTGGAAACAGGTCCTCCAGCCCCGGTCAAGCCTTCAGATGAGTGCAGCCCTGGCATCCTGACTACAGCTTCACGGGAGGCAAAGAGCAGAACTAAGCCACCCTGAATCCCTGACTCACAGAAACCGTGAGAGATGCTACGTGTCTGTGGATGTCTTAAGCCCCTAAATCTTGAAGCAAGCAGTTACGCTGCAGTAGACACCTAGACCAGGCTCCCCCCGGTCTACAGACGAGGAAGAGCACTCAGAGCTTCGTGAGACCATGCAACTACTGGGGGGCGGAGCTGAGATGTGGCCCTGTTTTGGCTTCCTGCTAAGTCCCCTTCACCACCACCTGAATCCCCAGGAGGGACCTTAAAGTCTGCCTGGAGGCTCAGAGAGGTGGGAGGTGACCCGCCAGAGGCTGCAGGCCAGGCAGCTGTCATTCCCACCCTCGGCCTGCTCCTAGAGCCTGCCAGCTGGCAGCCCTGGGCAGGTCTTGCCTGGGCATGTGCTCAGGGATCTTCAGTGTTATGAATTCAAGTGCCTCTGTGTGGGGCATGGACCTGCCCCTGCAGGCTGCTGGAGTCCCTTGTCTCAAACCTGGCATGGGTGTCGTGTCACTGTGGCCCTAGGAGTCTACAGCTCCTACTCTATGCCTTGTTCCTGAAGGGCTCTCTAAGCAGTGGTGAGGATAGGCGGCAGTACTCACAGAGCTGATGTGCGGCAGGGAAGCGGGGGGCCTGTTGGGGGAAACCCAGGGCCTATCTTTGATGTGACTCCCTCCCTGCCCAATACCCCTGGCTGGACTAGGGGACCCCACCAGAGGTTCCAGCAAGCACCTGGACTTGGTCACAGCAACAGATTCTGATT